TCATCAAATCCTTGTTCATATGGTAGGCTAATACTATGCTTTTTCCTTTCTCAAAAAAGCATTGGGATGCTCGTTACATATAGAGGTTTCTATTTGTTGTTGAATTGATTGAATCTTTTGTTGGATCAAAGGATCCTGTATTTGTTCTTCTATATATTTATATTTAATTTCTTGTTTTAAAGTACAAAGAAATTTTTCTTTATTGTGTAATTGACTTTTGACATTATTGATTTCTTTTAATTTTGGTTTATGAATAACATCAAAGTGTATTGGTACATTTTGATAATTCGAAGATATTCCAGTTTGATCGATTGATAAGGGATATAATAGTGTAAGAAATGGGACTCCAAGGAGAACTGCTTGGCTTAGTCCTTTAACCATAATAAATGGTGTATTGATACATTGGTGATTATTACAAATAGAGGCATTGGATAATTTATAATTGATAAAGAGTCTACTGCCATCTGCAGTATTTAGGATCTGAGTTGTTTTGTCAAAATATTTTGATGGTACTAATCCTTCATTAATACAATTAAGGTCAGCACCTGAGTCTATTAAGGCTGATGTTTGAAAGCGATAGTCTTCTGCTACTATTATAGTGACTTTAACAAACCATTTTTGAATCATAATTTTATATATCAAATTTACAGAGGGAATTGTTACCAGAAGTGGTTTAGCTTCTGAGGTCTCTGGTATATCGTCCGGTGGATCAAGACTATATGTTGTAATAGATGACTGAGTTCTAGTTCATCTGTATCTGACTCTTGCTGAGATAAATTTTGTAATTCTAGAGTTTTAATTCTATTTTTTAATTAGTGAACCTCTTTTTTGACTTCTTTGATCTCCTGTTTTAATTCTGAAATAGAAGGTTCTTTTTGTTGAGTAATATGTTGTTCACTCACTCTTTTCATAATAGAGGCAAAATTGTATTCATCAGGTGTTTTACTAATAGGAGGTGTTTTTGCTTTTGTTTTAGTTAAAGTAATAAATTTAGTGATTACAGATCTTTTTTCTTCTAGATCTGTAATTTTCTCATTAAGATCTAATATTAGATTATCTTCTTGAGTAAGCATATGAAGATTATGTGTAGGTATAGGGCAAGTACAATTAGATTCTTCCATTGGATGAGATGATTCTGTATTTGTAGAAGAATCTGAAGAATCAGATGATTCTGTCCATAAAAGGTCATCATCTTGAATATGTTCTATATGTTATTCAGTAGAATCTGATGATATAGAATCATAATTGATTATATTATATAATTTTGATTTAATTGATTCATCCAAGTGTAATGATTCTATTTTCTTTTTTAATTTGCATTGGTGTTTGTAATGACCAACTTTTCCACATTTATAACATACTGGAAGTTTCCTTTTATTTTTTTTATTTGGGGAGAATTTTTTTATAAATTTTTGTTTATACTTTTTATATTGTTTATGCACTTTATTGGATTTGGATTTATATTTGTCTTTTTTGTATTTTTTCTTTTTCTTATATAACTTTTCAGGTTTATTTTTTCTATCTAAATGGTATCCAAATTGTTCACAGAAATCACCAAGTTCTTTTCGCTTGGTAATTTGCTGTTTATCTAACTGTCTTTTGAGTTTAAGATCAGTACATAAAGCTAATCCTTCAGCACATATTTCTGCTGAGAGTTCTCCAAGTGTATATGCTGAGTATACTATAACTCCATTATGTTTCTTTTTAAGTCTGTCTTTGACTTTTTCTGCAAACAAATAGGGTAAACCAGCAATAAATTTTTCTTTCCAATGGTCTAATTGACAATTTTCTCGTATTAGTAATCTTGAGAAAAAGACATCATTATACCATTTATAATGGGATAATGTAGGACAACGAAGATTAGATAGCAGATCTTCTTATCTTGCTGCCAATAAGGCCGTACTTCCTACAAAATGTAATGTAATAGTATATATTAAGGTGTTTACTGTATCACTTTTAGTATAAATTATTTCTTGATTTTGTTCATTTCTGGCGGTCCATTGTCTTGTATTGGTAAGGATTCCATTTTCGGTTTCATCATCCACATAGAAATCTCACCAGGCTCTTAACCAGCAAGTAAATCCATTGACTATTGCTTTAGCAATTTTTTGGTCTGGATTCCCTGCCATGTTATTTGCTGAAGCAAACATTGTCATATGTCTCATGACATCTAATATTTTTAATTCAGATAAACCATCTATTGTTCAATTAACTATTGATCTTCCTGAATAGGAAACAGCTTGTATGGCATCTTCTTCAAGCTGTACATCAACAGGTGTATGTCTCTTATAATATGGCAAAGCTGTGATTGGTTTCCATGTTTTTCCATAGGCAATTCTGTTTATATCAATAGGTGTAGTATCCATAAAAGCAGATTCTTGGTTTTGTATAATATCTTCTATAACTGGTTCCACTTATTGAAGCATCATTGTTTCATGCTCTGGTATTTTTGCTTTTCCCTTATCTGACGATTCAGGTATATTGGGTATAGGAATACTGAGTTGGGAGAAGGAATTCTTTTAATATCTAATTGGGCTAATTTGGCTATTAACTGATCCATTAGGGTTTTATTATTTTCGCCGATATAGAATTTATTTTTATTGAGTTCTGGAGGTGGTTTAAACAAAACTGCTTTAGGAGTTATTCCCTTAGTTTGAGGAGTAACTAATCGTTCTATACGTTCTGCTTGTTTTCCTAAAGATTGCATATATAAATTAGTTAAATATAATAGTATGCTCTTTGCTTACCTGTTATAATTAACATGTTTAAATTATGTTACTGATTTTTATCCTAATAATGCTATAGACACTAAGCCTTTACATAATAGATTAAAAAATAATCCTTCACCATGGACGAATATTCATACTAAAGCAGTTCAATTAATCAAACAAAAAGTTAAAACCCTAGTTTGCCTTTCTCTTCCCCATCCTATTGCTTTCAAAATAATTGAATGTGATGCCTCCGAATTGAGACTGGGCGGTATTCTCAAGCAACACATTGATAGTCATGAACAACTATATATATATATATATATGTAGAAGATTCACCTATTT